AACTTTAATAAATGCAATTCTAACAGAGATAATACACTGGCTTTGTAAGAAAGGGATCTTTCAGTTATTAAAGCTAACAATAATTTGATACATAAAATGTAATTGTACACATAAAAGTACATAAAGAGAATAATGAAGCAGAAATGTATATTTTTATCTTAATATAAATGAATAAATGTGATATTCCATTTGAAAATCAACAAAATAACATCAGTCCCCAGACAAAACACTATTAGGAAGTCTACTTAATTCTATAAAAATAAATTTGTCATTTGATAAAAAAAAGTAAAAAAAAAAACAAAATGTATTGACTCCTAGAACTCTGTCAAAGGATATATAATATTAATATAATTAAGCTGACAAACGAAATATGACAATTAAACAACTGCTGTGACTTAATCAACGGGAGAGGTATTAAATATTAATATCTAAAAATGTCCAATAGGATTATAAGAGCCAGAACTTGGCTTTCAATTATAATTTTGTTAGTTAACCAGTTGAGAGAAAGCTTAGTACTTTGAATAATATCACTGATGTCAAAAGAAAATCTTGACTTTTTGAAGCTACAAGAGATCTAGTGACTAAAAATTTACTTTTAACATTTATATTAATAATTATATTTTTAATTTCTAGAAGTTCTGCTTGATTTTTGAAAAAACATGTCTGTTCTTTTTGCACAGTGGCTACCATTTTTTAGGGGTTCAATTCCTTATTTTCTACTATAGTCTCTTTAAACATAGTTGTTTAATATCCTATGCTTTAATCTCCTATTTCTTGTGTCTTCTCCTACTTGCTCATTGTGAATTATTTCCTTGTGTGTTTTGTTAATTTACCAGCATGGAGGTTCCTGAATCATATGGGTAGTGTAGATGCAACCCCAAACCACGGTGATAAACAGGTCTGTGGCTTAACTATCTCAGAGGAGACTTGCACTATTATTATTTTTAATTTAGAATCCAGTAAGAGATAGGTCATTTTTTTAAAGTCTTCCTATGACAATGAGCATGTTTTATTTTTCTAGTTCACCTTTTTACTAAGGGTGCAGTATTTTGAGGGACTTGCATTTTTCAGTGGTCTTAGTTCTAACTCTCATAAAGATCAAAGCCTTGTCCCCCTTCCTCATCTTTCTGGTCTAATATGTCCTTTTCCAACTGGGACTCTTTCACAAACTCTCCGTGTGAGTTTGGGCAGGTCACTTCCCCTTTTGGGTCAAAGTTATCCCATTTGTAAAATGAGAGAGTTGGGTGAAATGACCAGTTAGATCTTTGGCAGCTCCAACATGCTAAGGTTCTAGGCTTCACCTGACTTAGCTACTATTTCCAGAAAAGAGATTCCATTATCCTTTATCTGTATGTGGGAAGTCCATTCTAAGGAAGTGGGTCAGGATGAGGTCATGCTAACACGCGATCTGGGATTGTGGGCCAGCAGTCAATGGCAGAACGTTGCTTCCGAAGTTGTTCCCCTTCGGCCTTTCCTTTGCCTGAAGCTCAGACCACACGCGTCAATTCAAGACCTACAAAGAGCCTGGTTTGCCTTCATCACTTCTTAATAGCTCACCTTTGGAATTAGTGAAGTCAGCAATTCTCACAAGGGTGTAAAAGCCAATCATGAGGAAGGCTTTATTTCTAGGATAAAAAGCTCAAAGTGCAATTCAGTGATTATGTCTAGGTAGAAAGCTTATCAGCTCCTTTTACAACCGACTGTTTCATTAGAAGACTTGTAAGAATTTCCTTTTGGAATTTCTAAGGTAAATTTTATTTTGCTTCTTGTGCAGAAGAAAATTTGGAGAGCAAAAAAGCATAGAGAAGACAAAAAAAGCAGTCATAATCCCACCATTTAAAAGCATTCAGTGTCATCATGGCAGTGTGGTTGTTTTTTAATCTCTTAATCATTCTCATTTTAAATATAATTTTTAATTTTGCTATGACAGTATTTGTGTACCTTATTTTGGGTCAGTGTATTACTCTGAAGTAGAGTCATCATTGTTTGACTGATTGTTCTAAGTTGCCCCAAACTGATGGGATATGATTCTATATCTGATGGGATACAGTTGTATCTAAATTACTCAAGTCATTGGGATATAATTGTTTCATCAACCTAGAAATAACAATTGAAATCAGAGAGGCAACGAGGAATCTCAGTACTGCTGAATTCTATCTTTATTTCTACATTCACCTTATTTCTTCTTCAACAGAGCATACCTATGGATAACATAATTTTGTTTCCTATTTTCTTTCTTTCTTTCTTTCCTATTTTCTTTCTTTATATCTTTTTTCTCCCTGCCTTTGGTTTCTGTACTGAGGCAACGACAGATCAGAGTGGTTGTGAAATTAGTCAGTGTTTCTGTAGCATGGCTATGGGCTGGGCATGCAGTGGGAATTGGAAGATTTGAGTCCTAACTAAATGATACCAAGCAAGCTATTTCCCCATCCCGATCCTCAGTTTCCCCATTTGTAAAATGAGAAGTTTGGGTGAGATGACCATTAAGATCCCCTATATCTTTCTTGTTCTGAGATTTTCCCTCTCTCCTTTGACCTCTTTGCCATTTGGAATCTACATTAGGTGGTGGGAGACAGGGGAGGAACCAGTGCAAAGCAGTCTGGTTTTCAATCCGCAGCTGTAGCTGGAATGTGCTAGGTGGTGAGCACCCTTCTCAGTGCTCTGCTTTGTCCTCTGCCAGCAAGGACATAAGGAGCCCCTCCTCTTCCTGGGCAATGGATGGCTTCTAGGCACATAATTGAATTTTTTCCTCATCGTCTCTCTTTAGGATACCAGATAGGGGTCACAACAGAAGACAAAACAGAAGTGGTGTCATATGCATGGGCAGTTCATTACTTATGCTTCTTGGATAATTGTTCCTAAATCACAAACTACTGTGAATCATCAAGTTCAAACAAGCCTGGCATCTCTGAACTGCTTAAAGCACACTCCAATTATCGTATGAAAGTCTGTACTGGGAAGACCAACGCTCACAAGCTTTGTAATCAGGTGCCACACATGGATGTGGCAGAACTTCTCCAAGTAATGAACATCTCGGCTCCATGTGTTTGAAGTCTCAGTTTACCAAGGTCCAGCCTGGGCTTTACTTTAAGAATGTGCATAGAGCAGGCGCACCTGTGTGACCCTGGAAACGTCCGATGCCAGGACCCTCTCCATGGTCCTGATTGCATGTGGCCTCTTTGTTCTCCTCCCTGCCCTTCTGTTATACCATAAACTCGTTCTCTTCATCTTTTTCTCACCATTTCTCCATTTATACCTGTTTCTTTTTCCTTCTCCTGATCTCTGGTTGAGAAATCCTCCAAAGTCTGGTCTCAGCCGGGAGTTGCTCTTCTCTTCGCGTGCTCTTGGTTGGCTTGTTTGTGTAATGTTTGCACTTGTCCTAAAACATCGCATGGCATTTACAATCCTGGCCATAAACTCTAGTCTTTTTGGACTGGTGTAGCAACCTTCTTGCTGTTCTGTCTGCCTCCAACCTTTCCTTCATTTTCCTAAAACAGATATGTGTTTGCTAAAACATATCCTAAAACAGCTTTTGTCACTCTACATGCAGGCTCAAAAGCTTACACTTCCCTTTCAGGGAAGCCCAGGGTCCTCCGTTTGCCATTGAGACCTCCACGCAGGACCATGACTCCCCCCCACAGCTTTATTTTCCACCACTTCCCTTTATAACTCTCCCCTCCCAGCTGCCCAGACTTACCTGCCCCCCCAGCCATGCCAGGGGCTCTCCTGCCCTGCTCCTGTGTGCAGGAACACAGGAACCTCCCCACCTGCTGTTCCTACTTTCCCCCTCTCTGCTTCCTAGACACCCTCCCACCCCAGCACAAATCCATTCTGCAAACCTCCAGTCCTGCAGGAACTTGCTTTCCCCAGTGTATAAGCCACCTGCTTGCGACCTGTCACCTCCTGCCTCAGATTATGATGTCCCATTCATCCTGTCATCACTCGACACACACCTGTTCAACACTGCCTGCTGTGTACCAGGGGCCTAGAGCGAGCGGTTCAAAGTTGAAATAGACCCCGCTCTTGCCTTCAGGAAACTCAGATAGACAGCAAGCTAAGCGATGTCATGCTTAAGGTCAAATGAGAGCCCAGAGAGAAGGAAGGGATGACCCCACCTGGGAAGAAGATAGGGAAGAAGGTAGGCCAATTCTATTTAAACAGCACGATATGGTGGAAGGAACAGCAATCTGAGTTGTAATTTTGGCTGAAAAACTTATTATCCTCTACCCTCTATGCCTCAGTTTGCCCACCTGTAAAATGGGAATTATATCATTTACCTTGAGGGGATGTGTTGAGGAGCGAATGAGATCATGTTTGTGAAAAGTGTCTAGCACCACCCGGGAGGTGCTGGACAGGCACGAGCTGCTCTGACCACTGAACTGGTCCCACCTTCCTCGCCTCACAGTGTCTAGTTCGCTGCCCTGGACTGACCACGATCCTGGTGGATATCTATCGTTTCATGGATTGACATTATCATTATCCACCATCCCAGGAAACAGGGCCACCAGGGACTAGGTTGTTTGAACTGTTGCAGAAAGGATCTATTCCTTTTTCTTAGAACCATACAAATTTGGAATTCGGCAATTGGAAATTTGGCATAGTGAAAGATACATGGGCAAGAGCTCTGCTTCTCCATTTCAGCAAGGGGTTGGAGTCCTCAAGCCAGAAAGCAGAGCGACACTGTCCAGTGCCCACCACACCCCACTAACGAGCCCAGGGCTTTCATGAGTCCAGCTCTTTGAAGCCGCACCATGAAGCTCTTACGTCATGACACGCAGCATGGACAAAGGAGTCCTGACTTAGCGAGAAGCCCGAGTGGAGTCTTTTATGAGGGTAGGGACTCTTCTGAGGAGACAAACGGAGGGGAAGGGCTTTGATAATCAACAGATGAGCAAAAAAAAGGGGGGGGTGCCTCACATGTCCACACCCTCCACAGGGGGTATAAATGCTGGGCAGAGGAAGGAGACTCACAGCTCTGCAGCTTGTAGAACTCAGACCTTGTCTTCAGCCGGGCACGCACTCCCTCCCAGCACCATGTCCTACACCTGCTTCCTGCCCAGCTTCAGCTGCCGCACCAGCTGCTCCTCCCGGCCCTGCGTGCCCCCCAGCTGCCACAGCTGCACCCTGCCCGGGGCCTGCAACATCCCCGCCAACGTGGGCAGCTGCAACTGGTTCTGCGAGGGCTCCTTCAATGGCAGGGAGAAGGAGACCATGCAGTTCCTGAACGACCGCCTGGCCAGCTACCTGGAGAAGGTGCGTCGGCTGGAGCGGGAGAACGCGGAGCTGGAGAGCCTCATCCAGCAGCGGTGCCAGGAGCAGGACCCCTTGGTGTGTGCCAACTACCAGTCCTACTTCCGGACCATCGAGGAGCTCCAGCAGAAGGTGAGGGCTGGGCACCAGGCTGCCTTTAGCAGGAAGTTGTAGGAAGAGAATCTGAACTCTGATATGAGCCCTTGCTGTGATTGACAGGTTACAGTCTGGCCTTTCCATCTTGTTTTCTTGACGGCCCATCTCATTTCAGACTTGGGACTGTTAGGTCTCAGAATTTGCATAGGGTTAGTCTAGGCGGCGTAGCAGCACTTTGCATAAATAAGCTGTAATTAAAAGCTGCCTCTGAATGCGTCCATGCATTTCTAAGCTCCGGAATTATTACCCTGAGGTGAGAGAAAAGGACTGAGCTCAGGCAGAGAAGCTGAGGAAATGGGACCTTTAGTAAGGATTGGACCATTTTCTCTCTCCCTCGTCTGAGCTTGTGGCTGCTTGTGATATTGGTGGCCTTCCTCTTCTGAGGACCTCATTATCCTGACATCATTGTCCTGATCTTCATGCCTCTGGGCTTCTCCTACTATGCAGTGTCCAGTGAGGACTGAAACTATTTGTCTCAAATCAGAAAGATTGGAAACGACCTAAAAGGAAATAGCACCAAGCCATGCAGGGTATCTGGGAGAAGGCAACTGCTTCCTGACCCAGTCCCCTGCCATTTCTAGTTTACATCTTTATTTTATCCACTTGATTGAAAGTTTCTTGGGCAGGATCCAGTGCTTACTCATTTTGTATCCTCAGCTTCTATAACCGTGCCAGGCACACAGTAGATGTTTTGAATAAGTATTAGTTATTATTATTATCAGCTTCTCGGTATTATGTGTTAGGGAAGAAAAAAAATTTTTTCTTCATACTTTTTCATACTTTTCATACATATTCATACTTTTCTTGTGTATTTTGGTTTTCCTTTTTTCCAATTTAATTTCTCAAATACTCGTTAAGCACCTATTATACATAGACAACATTTATTATTAGTCTTAAATAAGATACTCTATGATTTCTCATCCTGGACCTACCAAACAAGCACATTAGCAGGGATTGTTGTTGGTGAGAAATAACCAAGTCCTTGCTCACTCTGGAGTGTTTTGGGTCTTCTAGATCCTGTGCAGCAAGTCCGAGAACGCCAGGCTGGTGGTGCAGATCGACAATGCCAAGCTGGCCTCCGACGACTTCAGGACCAAGTGAGTGAGCAAGGTGGGGGGGGGAGGGGCATGGCAAATCTCTCTCCTGTCTCCTTCTCCTGTTTGTCAGTCTATTTTGCCAACATTGACAAACAACAATGGAGCTTTTTCCAGACACTTTCCCCAAGCTCCACAGAGCCATTTCCCACCAGAGCTCAGAGCTCCCTTCTCCTGTCCCCAAACGCTTCTTCCTGCTGCTTCTCCTTTGTAAAGTGACAGCTCCAATCACACTGCGAGTCAGTGTGGACATCTGGGCCCCTGATATTCTACTATGCACAGAGCTTAATCATGAGAATAAGGGAAGTATATTACTTTTGGAAATCTCACAATTTCTGAGCTTTGAGCCTCCAAATCCCCTGGTTTATTTAAAAAAATGATAATGACCGGTCCATTTTCCTCTAGGAGCTACTGCTCAATGTTGAAAACCTAAACAAACAAGAAGGCTATAAAACCTACGAATCGTAACTCCCAGTTGTTTGACAAACCAAAGCAAAGCGGAGTCAAGGCCAGGCCTGTCTCCGCCTAGCTTGTCCCTGATCCTGCTGTGATCACAGGTACGAGACAGAGCTGTCCCTGCGGCAGCTGGTGGAGTCGGACATCAACGGCCTGCGCAGGATCCTGGACGAGCTGACCCTGTGCAGGTCTGACCTGGAGGCCCAGGTGGAGTCCCTGAAGGAGGAGCTGCTCTGCCTCAAGCAGAACCACGAGCAGGTGAAGTTCCCCAAAGAGCGACAGGATCAGACTCGCCAGGGCCTGTTTCCCAACCTGGCTGTCAGGGGAAGCTCAATTAGCCAAGGAAGCTATTCTGCAAACACAAAGGGATCTGCAGAGAATGAGTAATCTAAGATTCAGTGATACGAGATTAGGGTTTTTCTGCCAGAGGCAGCATTGAGAGTGAAGGAAGCTGGCAAGCCCGGCAGTGAGGAAAGGTCAGTGCCAAGGCAGCAGCTGCGGCCTCTTCCGTGGCCTGGTTGGAGAGCTCGCTGCGGCGACCTTCGACCCCAGCTCTCCATCTTGTGCCTGGAGAGAGCAGCAGTCTGTCCCGGAGCACACATGGTAGAGCGGGCAGAGCTGGATTAAACCCTCCTGGCTCCCGTCCAGAGCTCTTTCTGCTATTCAGTGTCGCTTTCCAGCAACACTGAGCAAAGCGCTCACTCATCATCATGGCTCAGTCAGCTGCACGGGGAAGAAGGCAGATGTTTTACGCAAACCTCCGATCCCAGAACAATGTACATGGTGACAGTTCGTATTCATTTAGGGCTTATCATGCACCAAACATTGTGCTAAGTGCTTTAGGACTCCGGAGGCAGTTCTCATTTTAGGATTAAGAAATTGAGGCTTCAAGAAGCTTCCAGAAGCTATAAAGTACGTGGTAGAGACAAAAACCAATTCAAATTTGTCTAACATCCACTTAAGCCCAAGTCCCAAGCTGTGCTTAGCAGTAAGGTGAGTAGAAGCCTATTGCCTTCGGCAAAGTCCACACTGGTGGAACCAACAGATCACCAGTTAAGTCTGTGCTGTCCCAGGAGGGCAGATTTTGAAGCAAGCATTCTTCGTTCCTTCTCTAGCCAGACTCTGTCCTTTCGTCACCCACGCTTGAGAATCAAACACAGGCGCTATGCGGTGTGCAGCAAAAGCTCTGGAGTGGGCATCGGGGGACCAGATTTACACTGGGGTGACCACGTCTCAGTGCTGAGACCAAACCTGCCTCTCTCTAGATGACGGGTGGTCCCCTGAGCACGAGGGCAGACGGAGGTCACAGACTTGAAAGCACTTTGTAAAGTGGACTACTCGGATTAGTCACCGAATATAGAACCTGGTTAACGAGAGGATCAGAGGAAACGAAGCTTGCTGAACACTTAAGAATGAACAGAAGCTGGCTGCATTCTCTCAAGGAGAGAGAGCACTGGTGTCCTCTGTGAAATTTTAACTTTTGCTCTTTCTCCATCAGGAAGTCAACACCCTGCGCTGCCAGATCGGAGACCGCCTCAACGTGGAGGTGGACGCTGCCCCCACCGTGGACCTGAACCAGGTGCTGAACGAGACCAGGAGCCAGTACGAGGCCCTGGTGGAGACCAACCGCAGGGAAGTGGAGGAATGGTTCACCAGGCAGGTGGGTGTCTCTCAGCATGTGACCACTCAGCCCCAGACCCCTCAGGGCCCTCGAGGCAGGGTGTGATCCTGCGTCCTCCCCTTGCGTGTTTCAGACCGAGGAGCTGAGCAAGCAGGTGGTGTCCAGCTCGGAGCAGCTGCAGTCCTGCCAGGCGGAGATCATCGAGCTGCGCCGCACGGTCAACGCCCTGGAGATCGAGCTGCAGGCCCAGCACAACCTGGTGTGTGCTGCTCTGGCCTGCTGGGGAGCCGGGGCAGCCGGGGAGGTGGGGTCACGGGGATGCCCTTTGGGCCACAGGCTCTCCTTAGTGTTGGATCTTGTGAAGTCTTTGGACTACCATGGAGACACCCTTTAAGGAGCAGCTGTCTGACACGCTTTATGTCCCCCTGACAGAGAAACTCTCTGGAAAACACGCTGACGGAGAGCGAGGCCCGCTACAGCTCCCAGCTGTCCCAGGTGCAGTGCATGATCACCAACGTGGAGTCTCAGCTGGCCGAGATCCGCTGCGACCTGGAGCGGCAGAACCAGGAGTACCAGGTGCTGCTGGACGTGCGGGCCCGGCTGGAGTGCGAGATCAACACGTACCGGGGCCTGCTGGAGGGTGAAGACTGCAAGTGAGTTTAGGGCTGGCAATTGTTTCCTTGGGACACATGAAGTTGTTGTGGGGCTGAATAGTGTTCTTGATGGAAATGAATTTATAATTCCAAGCTTTTTGTTGGAGACAGTCCAAAGAAGGATATTCTTACACAAAGCACTTTTAGCATCTTCCTAACTCTTGAGCTCACGTTGCTCTATGGTTTTCTGTCCACAGGCTCCCTTGCAACCCCTGTGCTACAACCAATGCGTGTGACAAGCCCATTGGGCCCTGTGTCCCCAATCCCTGTGCCTCACGTACCTGGTGTGGGCCCTGCAACACCTTTGGGCGCTAGAAGCCCCACCGCCAGGAGGAGGAGAAGGGCATTGGTCACACCCCACTCAACTTCATCCCAACATCTCCAGCAGGGACCATGCTTTGGACAGAGGCAGAAATCTTCCTATCAGCCTCGATCTCTGGTGGTCAGCTCTACCTTTCCCCTGTGTTCTTAGCTTGATCCTTCAGCATAAGAGACTGCAAGATCTGTCTTCTGCATCATGCAGAGAAACCTACAGCAGGATGTGATTTAAAAATAATTACATGGAGCATGGCAGAGCTGATGGGCATGCTACAGAACAGGACATAATTGGAATAAATCTTCCTTGTCACTCTTTTGGTCTTTGGAGATGCAATAAAAACCCTTTGTTTACCTCCTAATAAACTCTTATTCTGGCATTAAAAACTGTAAATGTTTCACTCATTAATTCCAAAATTAGATGTCTTGTATGAATAAAAGATAACAAGATGGAGGGGTTATTCACTCCAATATACGGTCTGTGGCTTCCTTCAAAGGAAAAGTCTCCACTAGCCATCACCCATGGGGCTGGATTTCATGTTTGGGAAGAATGAGGTGGGAAAGAGAATGGCAAAGCCAACCACAATGACAGCGTCTAGACGTGCAGAAACTATTCATTCGGAAACATGAAGTATAGGGACGTGTAAACATTTGGAAATAAAGAAATAAAGAAAAAATTGCATTAAGGTAATGTGAATCTATCCTAGTGTGTGTGTATACATACATATATATCTATATCTCATAGACACATACACATACCCATGCACTGGGTATGTGGACAGGTAAGGAGACAGGCCCCCAAACTTGTTCATAGCTCCCTTCCTCACCGGCTGTCTCCAGGCCAACCTCTCCCTGTGCCAGGGCCCCAGCAATGCTGAGCTGACCTTCACTGCTCTAGTTGCCTTCGGGAGCAGAATCCTACAGAAAGGAGAGTGGATGGTCCTGAAGATTGCAGAGCCTGCGCCCCTCTTCACTGGAGGAACTGCCCGACTTGGACAACTGCCTGAAACACCAGTTGAGGACCACACATACAGAACGCTTCTTTATTTGGGTTTGGCAGAGAAGAATCAGTGGGACATATTTTCATCCACTTTAAAAATAAATAATGTGGATATGATACAGATTTCAATTAAATCAATGTGGAAGTCACATTATCGTTAATCATGAATGTCTGTGGCTTACTTGGAATGAGGAGATAAATAAACGGGTGTGGAACTCTCTCTCTCTCTTTCTCTTTCTCTCTCTTTCTCTTTCAACAACAACACAGAGGCAGACAAAGAAAAAAATAATACAAGAACTCTCAAAGGTAAGGGGCTGATATTCAACCCTGAGCTCTTCCTGGTTTAAGTTTTATTTCTCCTTTCTGCAGGGTCCCTGGTCCACAGTCGCTGAGGCCATCAGCCCCTGGGGCGAGGCCCTCTCTGAAAACGGTGCTCTCGGGGCAGAGGCTCACATGCAAGGAAGCCGGGAAAGCAGCCCCTGGGGAACGTCTCCTGATCCCTGCTCTGCCCCTCCACGTGAACACACAAGGACGGCGCTGGGCAGCAGGTCTTGGGCTCTGCAAGGCTGGCTTCACTGCCAAAGCCTTCCAGCTCTCTGGCACCTTCCCTCCATGCACAGGGGAGCTGATATCACTTTAACTGAACTGACCCTTGCCCAGCCCGCTGTGCCAGGCCTCCTGGATGTGTGTGTTGAAAGCCTACTTGGAACTCAGTCCCCCTCCTCTTGGAAAGGAATGCCAGCCAACACCTTGGAGACGGTAGAGAGGTTTTGGAGTTTGGGGATGACTGGGTGAAGGAGAGGCTTCTTCTAGGCCAGGAAAGCGTGTGTGCTAGTGGCTGGCCTGGAAGGTAGTTTTCTTTAAGCAATTTTATTTTCAAAAATCCTTGGTGTAACTGGGAGGAGGCTGTCCCTCCTCTCTCCTTTACCCTGAAACCTTCCAAGCAGGATGCTGAGGATTTCAAACCCTTTTTAAAAGAAATAATTTCTTTTTCCAAATAAAAACTTAAAGGAGTATAGAAGAAAAGCAATGTCTTATTAGCTTATCTTAAATTTTAGGAAATATTTATAACATTTACTTAAAAATTCCATCCATGGGATGAATGAGGCTGTTTGGATTCATTTGTCTGTTCAGTGAGTATTTACTAAGCAGTTACTTTGGGTTGGGTCTTGTTCTTGGCCCCCAAATACCTCAATGGAGAAGACGGACAGGATCAGCCTCTCTTGGGGTGTGCAGGCCAGTAGATGAGACGCAGAAAATTGGAGCAAGAAAGCAGGCACAGCAGGAAGAGGGTTTCGAATAGCAGCAAGCACTAAGAAGTAAACGAAGCAGAGATTGATGTGGGTCTGGGCAACGTTGGTTACCATGGTCAGGGCTGGTCTCTCCAGGAGGTGATATTTGAGTTGAGACCTGAAAACTGAGAAGAAACAGATCAGAGGAAAGAGCATTCCAGGGAGAGGGACCAGCCAGTAAGGGAAGGATGGGGGGAGGTGGATCCTTAGGAGGAAGGCAGGCCAGTGCCTTGGGGTAGGCGTGGGGTGTGTGGGGTTCACCAGCTCAGTTGGTGGGGAGGGATCCCATTTTATTTATTTTTTATTTATTTATTTTTTTGGAGACAGAATCTCACTCTGTTGCCCGGGCTGGAGTGCCGTGGCGTCATCACAGCTCACAGCAACCTCAAACTCCCGGGCCCAAGCAATCTTCCTGCCTCAGCCTCCTGAGTAGCTGGGACTACAGGCATGTACCACCATGCCTGGCTAATATTTTCTATTTTTAGCTGCCTGGCTAATTATTTTTTCTATTTTTAGTGGAGATGGGGTCTTGCTCTTGCTCAGGCTGGTCTTTAACTCCTGAGCTCAAATGATCCTCCCGCCTCAGCCTCCCAGAGTGCTAGGTTTACAGGCCCGAGCCACTGCGTCTGGCCCGATTTTATTTTGAGTAAAGAGAGAAGCTAAAGAGAGTTAAAAGGATGGGTTTGATTGACACCTTTGTTAACAGGAGCGCTTTGGCGGCTGAGTGGGGAGTAGGTTTACTGAACACACTTTTGAGAGCTTTGGTAGGCGATGACATTACAAGTCAGATGCATTGTTTTGTTTTGTTTCAAAGAAGAGTCACTGACATTTCACAGCTGCTCACATTCCTCATCAAAAACAGGAGAATCAGACGAGAAGTGCGCCGAATCGCAAGAATGGCTCAAACTGTAAAAAGATTCAGTCATGACGTGGCCTGCCCCTTGCCATTGTGAGACTCAGGCCGGCACCTGGAGGCGGGCGCCAGGTGGATGGCCGGGCCCTGCCAGGCTCCTGTCTGAGAGCAGGTGTGTGGAGGCCGCCCTCCCTCACTCTCACTCGTTTTACATGTGGGGACAAGCTCTGGGCTGACATTTAAAGAGCTGGGAAGATTTACAGCTTTCCCCGTCACAGACGTATTTACAAGAAACTAAGCCTGTTTCTCCGCGGTGGCCGGGACGTGTTGGCATCTACACAAGGTGACTTCGTGTGGCAGCTCGAGTGAAGCTATTGGCCACCCCAGTGAAGTAAAGCGTGGGTGTGGCGCATTGCAGTGTGTGTGTGTGTTTAAAGTTTTAAAAATGGTTAAAAGAAGAAAAAAAGAAAGGCTGGAAACCAAGTCCCAGAAAAATCTTGGGTTTGGAAATGACTGAATCATAACCTCTGTCTGGATCTCAGCCCTCAGTGAGTTACTTGACCTCTCTTGGCCTCAGTTTCTTAAGCTGTAAAATGGAGAGACTAATAACCACCTCGTTGATTTTAATTTTAGAAGGATAAAAGGAGATTATTGTGGTAAAGGTGCTTAACCCAGTATCTGATAGATACTAGGTGCCCAGTAAATAGATACCAGGTGTTCGCTTCCTTAGGGGGCCCAAGGACATTGTGTCCCTGTATCCCGACCCCTTCCCACTGCTCAGGACGGGGACTCCACAGCCTGGACATTCAAAGGTTTTGCTGACCTGAGCCCTCTGGTACCCAGGTGGGAACCTGGCTTCAAGGTTCCTCAAGTTGAGGGCTGTAGGAGTCTGGCTGGCTGGGGCAAGAAGGCGAGGGATCTGGAATCTGAGAATCAGAGAGAATGACTTCACATGTGCACGGGGGTGTGCGCATGCCCATGTTTGTGTGCACGTCCATGTGCCTGTGTGCATATGTGATAAACCTGCAGTTTATTATTAAGGACCTGGGTGAAATTAGTGTATTTTTTTGTTGTTGTTTGAATAGTAATTTCATATGTGCACGTGTCGACTTTGTCGTTGGTTGGCTGTGGAGCCTGGCTGACTGCTGACCAGGAGAGCAGTGTGAGGGCACACCCAGAGCCCGGGGCAGAGTGTGAAGGGGGCAGGGGTCGCCGTGGGAAGTGCACCCGCAGGCTGTGTGCAGTAACGCCAAGTGCCCAGAGACGCAGAACGGTGCGCCCTGGGGGATGGGGAGAGGGCTTAGGTGAGACGGTTTCAAGTCTGTTCTTGATAAATGCTCCATTAGATTGGCTCCCCAAGGCAGCACATCTTGGACTGAAATGCAAAGACCTTCAGGTTGGCTGGTGGGAAGGACGATATTCCAAGGGTGGGAGGTGGGGTGGGGAAGTGTCCAGAATCTTGCAGCTGAGATGTGGTGAGCTCTGTTGGACATTTGGATGTCAAGGATTTTAGAAAGGTGGATGTCTGCCTTATTGCTCTGTGTTTAACTGAGGGTTTGCATTCCTGCCCTGAGTTGGTACTTAAAGATGGGGGTCAGGGAAAAGGAGAAAGGAAGGAGAGGGAGAGGAGTGGGAGGAAGAGAGGGAAGTAGGGAGCAGGTGGGAGGAAGGAAGGAAGAAGGAAGAAGGAAGAAATACAGGAAGAAAGGAAAGAAGGAAGGAAGGAAGAAAGAAACAGAAAGGAAACACAGAAAAGACAAAGAAAGAAAAGAAAAGAAAGAAACAAAGAAAGATAGAAAGAAAGAAAGAAATCATCTATAGCTGTTGTTCTAGGCAGTTAGTGAATTGTCACTTAACTTGGCCTTTGTTTGCACCGTTTCTGCCACTCCTTTGCCTTTGTCTCCACCTCTAGTCCCATGTTTGCCCCTTGGATTTAAGGGTGGTTCCACTTTTTCAGGTTCTGGCCTTGGGTGCCCCAGGACACTACTTGCCCTGTTCTCTGGCTCTGCCTGCTCTTGGCCTCCCAGAGTGCGTTAGAGCAAGGCTCCCTCTCTGGCGGACGTGGCCCTGCGGCAGGCACCTGTCGTGGCAGGCAGCTGGTCGCCCCCACAGCCAGGTGCTCTTGTGCCT